AACAAATCTGTAATTCTGTTAAAAAGTTAATACAAAACGAAAATGCTAGGCTTAATAAGTATTGTACCGTGGATGGCCGAGTATCAAACTCTTTCTTCAGCTTCCAACGTTTATTCAACTCGGTATCGTTTTAAATGCGGAACAGGAACAAACTAACTTCAAAATTACCGTCAACTTCACAAACAATAACAATAACCGCCGGAAAACTCGCTCTTCCGACTCACGGGGTTCAACCTCTTCTGCACCCCGTCGCTCCGGTCACTTCACTCCCCCCGTCTGGTTCTCGTCGTCGCTTATATAGTTTCCTCCAGGTAACCCAGATAGTTCTCGAAATCTCCAGCACAGGTGCGAAACTTATTTGACAGTACATGGGGCCCAAATGGGGCTCCCATTTACTGAAATACCATGAATTTCGATCCCCCCATTCCAAACGTGAGTACCCCAGGTCATTTCCGTTACAGTATATACAAAAATATTAACATCCGAAATTATATGGTTGTACATAAGAATGAAAGCTCAATGCTATAAATTTTAATATATTTTCAATTTACATTACTATATACAATATCAGATATCAAACATCGACAAAACAGAACATAAACTTGACAAAATATAACGAACTTTTGTATTCTAAAAGTTCATTATATTTTCTATTGACCTTAAGTATTAAATAGTATTAATGTTAAATAAATGATGCGTTCGATAATATTTATTGCATATACGATGCATCACTTACTAGCATTTATTTGAATGTAGGAGAGGAAGAGATCATGCTTTCTACTGGTGTTGACAATTGTGTATCCTACTCCTGAAAGTTACGGCATACATTAGTGATTCCTTTATTATTTTATAACTTAACAAATCGTTGTTTTTAGTAGTTATTAAAGCCCACAATTTTAATTTTTTGGCCGAAAATATCATAACTGCCCCCAACATCGTAAATTTGTATAATTGGGAAGCCCCTTAGGTCGAAAGCAGTTAAAAATATGCACGCAAAACACATTTCTGACGAATATTTTCGAAAAAATCAAATCTCTCCAAATGCCCCAAACTCCGGAATTTCCAACAAAGAACACGCATGTAAATTTTTTATTTTTTTTGCGGAAAATTTATTTTATGTGCTTTTTATTAAGTATTTAGGTTTTTTTTAGGTTTTCAGTGTTTTTGAAAGCATAAATAAGTTGTAATCGCTCCAAGTTTCTAACAAAAATCAGACCCAAATTTCACATCGATTGCGTACATTTCGGTTTTTAAATTAAATCATGGTTAGCATACGAAATATTTTCGACAGGGCATTTTCATTAGATGTAAAACTGCAGATATCAAGCCAAAATTAGTTTACCTTTAGATATTTCAAATATACACTTTGGTTGAATTTTTCTCCTCATTTCTGATGTTACAACATAACCACATCCCGACTCCACAGTGTAGACCTATAAAATGAGTAATTTAGCAATAACCGAGTACTTTTTGTCGCAGTTCATAATACAAAATACTTACAATGGTTTTAAGGTTTGATTTAGCACCAGGCTTGCATTTTTTGGGCAAAACTTTCATGTGTCCCACACTTACGATGTTGGTAGTCACATTAACGGAGGGTGCACAGACCAAGCAACCGTCCCCAATTGGTACAAACAACATTGGCCACGAAGATTTGTAATGGAAACCTAAATTCAATTCAATTAAAAACTCATCCTTCCAGTTATTAATTTCGTTGAAAATTTAAATTTATTTGTTTGAATGTATTTCATACATAGAAAACATAATTTCTCTTGACTCTAAACACATAAGAATCAAAATACTTACAGATATCTTCTTTGGCATTGCGTCGTTGAACTGTCCCAGTTTTACGGTTTTTACCCGAAACAGCCGCAGTATCTTTCGATGTTATATCACTGTAATTAAGTATGTTCTAACGTAAAAAGTATTGTTAAAGTCGCTGTACTAATGACTGAAAAATGGTGCAGATTTTTCGAAAATAAATTAGAAAGTACTCACTTGGATAAGCTATTACTCGGAATGTGCGCCACTGAACAAACCTCATCATTATTATATTCCATGCTCGAACCTGGCTGATTGAGTGAATCTGAAAGTTGATCCATGCGATTCTTATTTTGCATACTTTTTTTTATCAAAATAGCAATATTTTTTAACACACCCAATCAAATCCATAAATATTATAGATGTCTGTTACTACTTAATTAAAAGTATTTACAACAATGCAAAACGACGTAGGTATGTTCTTTTTTTAAAGCTCTACTTCTGTATTTTTTATTTAATAATTCACTCTGACTTTCAACATACCCGTATTAGAACATAATCGTTTCCTAGACTGCACAGAAGTCAAATTGTCAGAACAGGAATTAATATCCATCCCTCTGTCTTGCGGATTGAAAATCTTCGTTGCTACTGAAGGAAGCACGCGTTCACTTTCAGTGTGTACACGAAAGCTGCCACTTAAACAATTTTGGTTTGGTTCTAAAAAACGAGTCAATAAATTCAAGTTATTTGTGCGATAGAAGTCAAATTATATTTGTTGAGTATGATGATGGAAGCACGCTCAATGATTTACTGTATGATTGCTAGTTCTCCCCAAAAACATTTAATGACAACTTAACTTCAAATAATACCAAAAACTATCCAACTAACACTAGTGTAACCTAGTCAGGTAAAGCATGTACCATGGGCTGCATAAATATGCAGAAGTCCAAACAATATTAACAAGTTTAAAATCATTTCAGTAACATTAATCTCCTAAATCATGTCATTAGACGGAAGGTGATTTAATTTGAAAAAAAATTGTGTGCGTAACGGGACGCCCGACAGAAGTGATAACTTCAAATGATATTTACTGAAACCATAAATTTGATTTAATTTTTCTTATTAATTAATTAATTTCTTGGGTTTCAGTCAAAAAGTGAAAGAAAAAAAGAATCACTTCGACAAATTCCAAATTAACTATGAAATTCGAAAGTACCTTCATTATCTTCATGCCCAGACATCTCTCTAATTTCCTCAAGTGGTTGAATATTTTGAGTGATTCTATTTGTGCTAGCTTGTTTGGACTTTCGCCCGCCATTGGTTATCCGACTATTGCATTTATCCGTCTTCTTTTTCAGCCAGTTTGCTGGACGAATCTCGGGCGCAGTACAACTATTTACTACAACTAAAATTTACATTACGTTAATGCCTGCCGTATCAATGGAATAAGTTGTCTTGGGAATTCGGAGAACAGTTTATATGACTGAGCAAAACAATTTTAAATCCCAGGCAAATTGTTAGAATTAAGAGAATATAATGAGTAATCGAAAAATTCTAGGTTTCCACACTTTCGGAATCGCGCGTATACAGTAAATATCTCTTAGTCTGTCTGTAGATTTGTTTCATACGTTGCCATATCTCAACTTATAATTATATTGTATGTTTTCCAGCCTTGACTAAAGCCATAATAAATTCTCGAAAGCTTGGTAGCTAAAAAGCGTTTCATTTTCTTACTACTGCCCATACCGAATCCCAAAGACAACTTAATTAATTGCTCTTGTAAAAGTCAAAAAATTAACTCCTGACTTACCGTATCCTTGAGCTATCAACTCCTTGGGTATATGCAAGATTTGTTTTCTATTTCTCTTCACGCGATCTATTAAACAAATGCAAAAAGCTTTTGAAAATCAATTTAAAACTTCAGCCTCAATTCAGCTGCTTTCAGATTTTAATTAGTTATAATGAAATCGAGGCAAGTTTGTTTTTGAATTGCGAATAATAAATTAAAACTATGACCATTTAACTACACTTAATTAATACACAGAATTAATTAGCAAATAAACGTTGAATTGCTGTTTTAGACAGTAATTTTATACAAACTAGAATTACATTTAGAAATGTTTTCCGGGCTTTGAAGCCGTGGTCTATCGGAATTTCTTCCTGACGTTTCGTCCACAACTGCGGTGGACATTTTCAA